TAATGAAAAATTAAAAAAAACTAGAACAACATTTGGCCATTTTCCCCTAATATTTTGAAATTATTCTTAAGATTAGACATCAACCCTTATATCATGAGGTTAGATAGAAATTATCTTTGATATGCATATATTAGAAACAGTGTTCATAGACGAATCAGTGTCTTGTACTGTTTTAATAAAAGACTAAAACATTTGTCTGTTGCTTTGCCAGTTTATGAGACTCTTCTTGATTCTGATGATTAAATCCTTCATGTAGAGTATTGATTAATTTAAGAAGACAGTAGATCCAAATGTAAGGTCTTATCTGGAAATGTTCAGAGAACATATAAACACAGTTTGGTTTATTTATTATATAATTTGATTAAATGTGATCCCTTCTTGTGAAATTATAATTTGGAAACTTAAACACAAAACGTTAGGAAATAGAAAAAATTGAGCTCAATGCCTGATGAATTTTTATTTATTTTATTTATTTTATTTATTTATGGACCCCACTAGAATATGAGGCTAAGCTTTAATTTAGGGGATAGAGGCATCACAATGTGCTGTTCATACTTTTTATTTTGTAAGCTGCTCTAAGAAAAAATTTTGGGGGGAGGAGGAATTTGTACTGTAGCCTCTTCTTTTCATTCCAGAGTGAGGAAATTTAGCTTTGAAATAAATGTCAAGTTCTCATACCTTATAATAATCTCCTTATAATAATGACCTTATGGTCATTGGAGTCAATTCAATCATCTCATGAGCTAGAAACTGGCAAGAGCACACCGGAACTAAAAACAAACTTTGGTTTCTCTTGGAAAGTGCCAAAAGTACCTGTCTTCCTATTATATAGATAACTGCAATGGATTTGCTCTTATTTCATCATCAATTTTTTTTTGGTGTGTTTATCAACAGGAAGATCTATAACCAGTACTTTAACTTTCTTCAGTTGGAGGTACCCCCAGTCTGTTTATTAGAATAGTACTCCTTCCCCACCATCAATCTGCTAAGATCATCTTGAGGGAACTACAGAGTGGTGTAGGGCTCAGCAAAGAGGCCTTGGTGGTGAGGAAGCTCAGAAAGAGATTTGGAGTAGCCCGTCGCCCCCGTCCACTCTAACACAGTTTCCATCTCCCCTCTGCCAACTTTTCAGAGCTAATGCATAGCTTCGCCATCGAAAGAACAGACGTAGAGAAACATCAGAGTCCTGAAACTTTTCCAGCATATTTTGAATATAAATAATCTCGGCTCTAGTCAACAGCAAACTATTTGTTGATATGTACTATGGCTCTCTCTCTCTATTATATATATAAAGTATATATATTTGCTCATTTGGGGGCTTGTAATAACTTTGGATTTTGTCCTTTGTGAGATGGCAACCTAAAGATTGTTATCTTTTCCACTGGTTCCAAGTTTTAAAGCATTTTAGGTTAAGTTTTATAATCATGTAAAAGTTGCATGTCAAGGCAAGAAATAAGCATTACGAGGCAGGTGGATTCTTTTGTAGGGTAGATATAAAACATTTATTTCTTGAAGACTTATCTTGCTAGGAGAGAAAGTCTTGACATGAGGCAATATCACTACAAAGAAGAGAGGCTTATAAGAGAAAGCTATTCTGACAGCAGTAGTTTTGTTCTCAAAAAATAGTGGCTGAAGTCAAGATTGGCACTTAGACCATGGAGAAGGATGGTATAATACCATGCATAGGGTAGAGGAAATATATACATGCATTCAGAGGAACACTGATTTCCCATTTAAGCTTTGTTAGAAACTATTAGAGGTTTTATAATTCTGTTGACAATCATCTTATTTGGAATATGATCTGCTTGTATAAAAATAATATTTAATGTGAAAGCTCTCAATACTTAAGTCTAGTGAAATAGTAGCTTTAAAAGCTGAGTCACAGTCTAATTTACCATCACAGTTCACAGTTTCCTTCAGCATTTTACTTGTTAGATTAATCCCATCTCAGCAATACCTTTAGGTTCTTGCCTTGATGTGGAAAAATACACACAAACATCTGATATTTCTGAGCATGTGGGCTGTGACAAATTTAAATGTGTTCTAATAGTGCATCTGCATATATACAGCTGAAGATTTATGGTTGTTTTTTAACTTAAAGATGAGGAAATTGACCACTGTGGGATAATTGAAAATAACAACTCTCTGGGAAAGCAGGGGCTAAGTTCTTAAATGCCAGGGCACCAAGAGACAATATCCTCTAATCTAAATTGAGTAATTTATGTCTTTGTCACTTGAAGATCAGATGTATATTTGAGTTAATGAATCATCCCACCTACATCCCATAACTAAAGCAAATTTTGTTTCTTTTTCACAGGCAAGGTTTTAGTCAATTGAATAATAAATCATCCTGCCTTTTTCTGAATCATAAGATAGGGAGACTCTTACAGGCAAGACCACAATTAAATGATACCCTAGAAGAGAGATTCTAACCTGTTTTTAAAGAATGCCTGAAGGAAACAGCCTAGATTACTTTGGCTACACTTTTCAGTGTTTAAAAGAGTAGTATCGTATGGCTGTTTTTAAACATTTTCAGTTTTTCACTGAAGATCTGTCTTAAATGCTCATAGGTCAGGAATTAATCAACTTCTGGATAACCCCCAATATCCTGGTCAGTGCCTACTGAAAGTCCTACAGAGACCACGTGTATGATGAAATGTTCCTCTCCCTTTAAAAAGATTAACCTTACAAAGAATATTCATGAACATTTTCTCTTTTGAGTCTCACAGTAATGCTCTATTATATATAATGATTATTAGTTCCTACTTAAAAGCAGAAATTAAGATTCAGAGAGGCTAAGTAACTTACCCAAGGTCACTAGTGAGTGGAATAATACCAACTGGAGACTAGTTATTTCTACCCTAAGGACCATGCCTTTTGCTCTCTATACTTTGCTGCCTCTTTGATATGCTTTATAAAATTGGGCACTTTAAACATGCACTAAGGTACTTTTGGGAAATTTGTTCCTGGGAGAATTATCTGAATTGATAATATGATTGGGAGCATTGTTAATTTGAGTCTATGGTCTGAACAGAAGAAAGCATAAAGAAAAATCCATTTTTTAAGTGGCATTGTTCAGATATTCAGTGCAAATGAATTGGGAGTGAGAGACACAGTGAATAGTCCAGGACTAAGATGAAATACATCGTCTTATGATTATGAGTGTTCAGAGGACTGGGCCTGAAATTTAGAAAAGACAATAGGTGAAAAGGCCTAGACACACCCAAGACGGAAATAGCCGCAAGAAATTCACCTACTTAAAATACACTAATCTGCGCAGATGAAGTTTGATGCCCTGTTGGCACTGTTGTTCAGGGAAGGGCCAAGTGGGCTGAGGAAATCGGGACTCTGTGAGACTAAGATACAAGGACACTTACAGAAAGGGGTAAAAGGTAAGATGCAAGTGTTCCCTGTGAAATCTTATGGCAGAAGGCTTTGAAATTTAATTCACATTGGAAGAACCTCAAAAATTAGTGGAGCCATTCGTATTTATGTTTGGTTTTACACAGTGGCTGCTAATAGCATTATACTGAAATGTAGGTGTGAATCTCATAATGTTCATTTATTTTTATTTTTTTATTGAAATATAGTTGATTTGCAATGTTGTCTTAGTTTCTGGTGTACAGAAAAGTGATTCAGATATATATTACATACACTATTATATATATATTCTTTTTCATAATGATTTATTACAGGAGATTGAATATAGTTCCCTGTGCTATACAGTAGGACCTTGTTGTTTATCTATTTTGTATATGGTAGTTTGTATCTGTTAATCCCAAACTCTTAATTTATCCCTCTCCCATTCCCTTTCCCCTTTGGTAATCATAAGTTTGTTTTCTACATCTGTGAATCTGTTTCTGTTTTGTAAATAGGTTCATTTGTATCATATTTTAGATTCCACATATAAGGCGTATCATATGGTATTTGTCTTTCTCATTCTGACTTACTTCACTTAGTATGATAATCTCTAGGACCATCCGTGTTGCTACAAATGGCATCATTTCATTCTTCTTTATGGCTGAGTAATATTCCATCGTGTATATATCACATCTTCTGTTTATGGACACTTAGGTTTCTACTGTGTCTTGGCTATTGTAAATAGTGCTGCTATGAACATTGGGGTGCATGTATGTTTTCAAATTAGTGTTTTCATCTTTTGCTGGATCCTATGGCAACTCTATCATAAATGTTCATTTAAATTGTCTACCTATGTCTGAAAAATTGCTCAGGTGAGAGTCATTTGTCTATTGTTAGCTCTCAATTTGACTTTCAAGTTGCCTTGATTCTTCAAAATAATTTGAGGAAAAAAAGTGATTTTTTTTTTTTTGTGGAACGCGGGCCTCTCACCGTTGTGGCCTCTCCCGTTGCGGAGCACAGGCTCCGGACGCGCAGGTTCAGCGGCCATGGCTCACTGGCCCAGCCGCTCCGTGGCATGTGGGATCTTCCCGGACCGGGGCACGAACCCGTGTCCCCTGCATCGGCAGGAGGACTCTCAACCACTGCGCCACCAGGGAAGCCCTGTAAGCCCTTTTTGATGTAATGCATGTTAAGGTAAAAATCTTTTATTTGAACTAGTTTTAAGTATAAAAATTAAACTGTTGCAAAGTGTAAATGAGGAAAACTTTTTAAAGAAATCCAGCTTTATTTCTTCCATATATCTATAGGGACATGAGCAAGGTTGTCAAAATACCAAGAGGTAGAGGATCTTAGGAAATCTACTTTAATGAACAAATAAGAGTGATTTGTAGTTAACTTAATACTTGATTTTATTTCAAAGAACACACAGGCGTTGGAAAAATAAGTTTTTTTCCTGAACTTAATAATATCAATTTTCTTGGCAATTTCTCTTTTCTGAAACAGTGAAAAGGTAAAATTTAGGCTAGCTCCTGTCCAAATAATCATAATAGCTGAATGGAGTCTGAGGCACTCATAGAGTGTTATTGAATTTGTCTATTTTCTAAAGGAAATTGACTCATTATTTTCAAATTGCTTTACAGGATCCTGCAAACCAAAAATGTGGTGGAAGAAAGAAAACCGTGTCTTTCAGCAGCATGCCATCAGAAAAGAAAATCAGTAGTGCGAGCGACTGCATCAGCTTCATGCAAGCTGGCTGTGAACTGAAGAAAGTACGGCCAAATTCTCGCATTTACAACCGTTTTTTCACTCTGGACACAGACCTCCAAGCTCTTCGCTGGGAACCTTCCAAGAAAGACCTTGAGAAAGCTAAGCTTGATATTTCTGCCATAAAAGAGATCCGACTGGGGAAGAACACAGAAACATTTAGAAACAATGGCCTTGCTGACCAGATTTGTGAGGACTGTGCCTTTTCCATACTCCACGGGGAAAACTACGAGTCTCTGGACCTAGTTGCCAATTCAGCAGATGTAGCAAACATCTGGGTGTCAGGGTTACGGTATCTGGTTTCTCGAAGTAAGCAGCCCCTTGATTTTATGGAGGGCAACCAGAACACACCAAGGTTTATGTGGTTGAAAAAGGTGTTTGAAGCAGCAGATATCGATGGGAATGGGATTATGTTGGAAGACACCTCTGTAGAGTTAATAAAACAACTCAACCCTACCCTGAAGGAATCCAAGATCAGGTTGAAGTTTAAAGAAATCCAGAAGAGCAAAGAAAAGCTAACCACCCGAGTGACCGAAGAGGAGTTCTGTGAAGCTTTCTGTGAACTTTGCACCAGGCCAGAAGTGTATTTCTTACTTGTACAGATATCTAAAAACAAAGAGTATTTGGATGCCAATGATCTCATGCTTTTCTTAGAAGCTGAGCAAGGAGTCACCCATATCACCGAGGACATGTGCTTGGACATCATTCGGAGATACGAGCTTTCTGAAGAGGGACGTCAGAAAGGGTTTCTTGCAATTGATGGCTTTACCCAGTATTTGCTGTCACCAGAATGTGACATTTTTGATCCTGAACAAAAAAAGGTTGCCCAAGATATGACCCAGCCATTATCTCACTATTACATCAACGCCTCTCACAACACCTATCTCATAGAAGACCAGTTCAGGGGGCCGGCTGACATTAACGGGTATGTTAGAGCTTTGAAAATGGGCTGTCGAAGCATTGAACTTGATGTAAATGATGGTTCAGACAATGAACCAATCCTTTGTAATCGAAATAACGTGACAACACACCTTTCCTTTCGAAGCGTCATAGAGGTGATAGATAAATTTGCCTTTGTGGCTTCGGAGTACCCACTCATTCTTTGCTTGGGGAATCACTGCTCCCTACCCCAGCAGAAGGTGATGGTTCAACAGATGAAAAAGGTCTTTGGCAGTAAACTCTATACTGAAGCCCCTTTGCCATCAGAATCCTACCTCCCATCACCAGAAAAATTAAAAAGAATGATCATTGTGAAGGGAAAGCAGTTGCCTTCTGATCCAGAGGTTTTAGAAGGAGAAGTTACAGATGAAGATGAAGAAGCTGAAATGTCTCGAAGGATGTCAGTAGATTACAATGGTGAGCAGAAACAAATCTTGCTGTGTAGGGAGCTCTCTGACTTGGTGTCTATCTGTAAATCTGTTCAGTACAGGGATTTTGAACTATCTATGAAAAGCCAAAACTATTGGGAAATTTGTTCCTTTAGTGAAACGGAGGCCAGCCGAATTGCAAATGAATACCCAGAGGATTTTGTAAATTATAATAAGAAGTTCTTATCACGAATCTATCCAAGTGCCATGAGAATCGATTCCAGTAACTTGAATCCACAGGACTTTTGGAATTGTGGCTGTCAGATTGTGGCAATGAATTTCCAGACTCCAGGTCCAATGATGGACCTTCACACAGGCTGGTTTCTTCAAAATGGAGGATGTGGTTATGTTCTAAGGCCGTCTATCATGCGAGATGAAGTTTCTTACTTCAGTGCAAATACAAAGGGCATTGTACCTGGGGTGTCTCCTCTGGTGCTTCATATTAAGATCATCAGTGGTCAGAACTTCCCAAAGCCCAAGGGAGCTTGTGCCAAAGGGGATGTCATAGATCCCTACGTGTGTATAGAGATACATGGAATTCCAGCTGACTGTTCAGAACAAAGAACTAAAACTGTACAACAAAACAGTGATAATCCTATTTTTGATGAGACATTTGAGTTTCAAGTGAACCTGCCTGAGCTGGCCATGATCCGTTTTGTGGTTCTGGATGATGACTACATTGGGGATGAGTTTATAGGGCAATATACAATACCGTTTGAATGTCTGCAGCCTGGATATCGGCATGTTCCCCTCCGCTCCTTTGTGGGTGACATCATGGAGCATGTGACTCTTTTTGTCCACATAGCAATAACTAATAGAAGTGGAGGAGGAAAGCCACAGAAGCGCAGCCTTTCAGTGAGAATGGGGAAGAAAGTTCGGGAGTATACCATGCTCAGGAATATCGGTCTTAAAACAATAGATGACATCTTTAAGATAGCAGTTCATCCCTTACGAGAAGCCATAGATATGAGAGAAAATATGCAGGTAGGAAAAATCCCATACTGTCCTCCCTTACCCCTGAGTCTTCTGACCCCTCTCTCACCAGTGAACATTGTGTTTTACTAATGATCTGATTCCTCAAAAAATTATCACAGAGGATGTGTAACCCCATGCACTGCTGAATTGCCTGTGATAAAACAGATATTTTTAAAAAAATTTATTGGGGTATAGTTGACTTACAATGTTGTGTTAGTTTTTGCTGTACAGCAAAGTGAATCTTTTATGCATATACATATATCCACTCTTTTTTAGATTCTTTTCCCATACAGGCCATTACAGAGTACTGAGTCGAGTTCCCTGTGCTATACAGTAGGTCCTTATAAGTTATTTATTTTATATATAGTAGTGTGTATGTGTCAATCCCAATCTTCCAGTTTATCCCTCCCCCCCACCCAGTAACCATAAGTTTATTTTCTACATCTGTAACTTTATTTCTGTAAAACAGATATATTTTGTTTCTAATGGTGAATGCTATGTTAAATCTGGCCTGAACTAAGCCAGCTAATGCAGTATCAATGTAGCGAAATGCTTTACATATCCATTAAATGTCCCTAGTACAAAACTAAATTGATATATGGGAATGTGTATATGAAACAGTGTGAAAAGAATAGAATATAAAATATTATATGTGCATGTAAAATACAAAATTTTATATATACAAACACATGCATACTAATTATAAGTATACATGTAAAATATTTGCAGATAAGAACCCAGAAGTGTATTTGAAGTCATATAAAACAAATGCAATGCCTATTAGATGATGTCTTAGTTGTCTGTGTACAGCAATAATAAATTACCCTCCACGAAACAAAGAAGACTAATAAACAAACAACATTCAGCACTTGAACTTGTTGAACTGTTTAGTCTTCTCTTAGAAATGTGCTTTAATTGAAAGGACATGGATTCTAGATTAAACTCTATCCCTGTGTGATCTTGAGCAAATTATTTCAGATATCTGGTCATCAGTTTTCTCCTCATAAGGTAAGAAAAATAGTAATAATTACATCACAGGATTATTATGAGAATTAAATGAGAGTATATGTAAATTACCCAGCCTTAGCATGTAGGAATTCAGTGTCAGTTTTCTTGCCTTCATTAATGCTTATAATCAGAGATGGCTGCAAACTTTTTTCTTCAAGACTACTTAATATGCTTATTCTAGGCTCATGTTACTAAGAAACAATCAAACGGCAAATGCTTGCTTAGTTCCTGCAATGTGCAAGAAGATGTTGTTTGGCAGAAGCAGTAGGAGTCTATGTATGAGAGCAAAACAGGAGAGGAATATTTTTCAGTGTACTTTATTTGCTCCTTTAACTAACATTTTTATAGTAACCTTCACCAAAAATCCCTACATTCAAAATAGAAAACAAGCTTGAAGAGGTTAAGTAATTTCCCAAATATTGTATTTAATAAATAGGAATATTGAGCTTTAAATCCAGAATTAACCACCACCAAAACCCAATGATCATTCATGGTTCTTAGTCATGTGATGCTGAACGCCAAACCATGACTTGGTGAAAACTTTATTTTTACATTATTTCACAGAGGAATCCTGGAATGCGTTTAAAATCAATTTTAAATCACCAAAATGGTAGAAAATACTATATTATATAAACCACATACAAATACTTAGATTGTAAACGTATAACTTGTGGTGGGTTGTCTTGGCTGATATTTTAAAAATAGGCTCCAGGGCTTCCCTGGTGGCGCAGTGGTTGCGAGTCCGCCTGCCGATGCAGGGGACACGGGTTCGCACCCCGGTCCGGGAGGATCCCACAT